CTTGATAAAGCAAAAGAAAAAACATTTATTGCAGATGTTTACAAAAATTAAGGCATCAAAGCATAGAAGGCAATTAAGATCACAGTAATGGCTTCAGCCAGGTTAACGTAACTATCAGCACTTCTGCAGCAGAGCAAATCCATGAGTGATGATAATCCCAAAGTAAGAAAGATATAAATTTATACATTAATTTCACTGGATTTTCACATAGGCTGGAAGTCACACATGAACTCAAGCACTTTGCAGGTGTTGGACTTACGCCCTGATTCAGTTCCTACTGAAATCTGTAAGATACCATCACTGACTTCACAGCTTCAGTGTCAGACTTTAAAAATAGAGAGCGCGAGCGTAAGAAAACATCTGAGTGTGCTCCTCAGATCTGATGGCACTATATGGATTGTATTCCTGCAAAACAGAAAAAGCAAAAACTTGCTGTTTATTCCTTGAAACAAAATGTAATTAAAAAGTCTATCTACAAAAATGTAACGAATGATATTTTACCATTTTTCACTCCAGTCTTTTACAATCAGAGATCTCCTCACATCTGACTCGTGTGTCGACATCATTCCATTTCCAAATCTATTCTAAAGTATTTTTATATTGCTGCATAGAAATCTTTGTATAGCCATGACCCAGACTGGGCACAATATTTCTCAAGACTGTATTTATTTATTTATAGAATAATGGAAACTAAAGGGGAAATTTTCTGTGGCTTCAGTAAGCCTTCACATAAGCACAACGTGATCATATAATAACTAATGAAATGGTTAAAATTCACTGTTAATAATTTAATATTATATACTTAGTTTTCACTGTTAATCTAAGTTTTTCATTGTTTCTTTCAAAATAAATACTGAATTAATATTTCCTTTTTTTTTTTTAAATACTACTTATTAAAAAGTGTATTCAGTTTCTGTAAGGTGGAAAAATCTCCCCATGCTTATTTTGAAGGTAGTACAGTGTTTGCTAATTTTCTTTTAACTTACAATTGCAATGTTTATGTGGTTAATTTTTACTAAAATTTTAAGTTAGGCTGGAGATGACTAAGCAAGGATTTCATCAAGCAAGGATTGCCAGTGTATCTTCCAATCAGAAGTACTAAACATAGAGTTTGCAGAGTGTTGTCATGCTATAGGTATTTTGTTTTATTTATAATTGCTTGAGGAAGGAGATGTTTTGTTCACGAGCTTATTCATGCATTGCCATTCTTCTGTTATTACTACAATAATCTCATTGTAAGTACGATTATGAGGTTAATGTAAGCATTAATGAGAGACGCACTTTATGGTGATTAAAACCTTGTGAAAAAAAAAATTTCTTGAGCCCTCTAGTATTTGAAATTAAGTCTCAAAGGACTTGGAAAGGATCCTGCTTATCAAAATTAACATCCTTGAGATTTCTGCATATCTCAAATAGTACCAATAACTTTTCCTGTCACTCTGTTGATGAATTACTAATGTACATATAGTGCATTATTACTTGCAACCCAACTGATACTGAGCACCTTTCACAGCTGACAAATGCATTCTTAAAGAATACAGAGTATTCCCCTTCAAAATATTATTCTTCTCCAGGCATTACAAAAATTTTGTTATTTTAGTGCCAGAGTGAACTATTTTTCATCCATTTAAAAAAATAAATGCTCCTAGAAGACTTTAGGAAATAATTTTTAGATTAATTTCACTAAATTACATAGCTACAATAAAAAAAAAAGAATTAATCACAGTAACAAACAGAGTAACAAAATGTTTCCTTTAGGGAACTGTCCTCTTTCCTAAAATATTAGGCTGAATATTACATGCACGATTAGAACCTGACTTTTCAAATGGAGTAGATCATGGAGCAGATCACACATACATCTCATAAAAATAAAACCTGAACCAATGGAATGCAACAAAAATGGACATACACTCAAGTATGAACATTTCCAGTTTCACAGTCCCAAAAACCCCCTCATGTCACTACTTTTATGAAGGGTCTCGGTTCACACATCTGCTGTCCTCTTCCTCATGCTTCGGCGTTCCATTTTCTACCCTGTATCTTGTCTGTAATCTTTACCTGCTTATTCACCCCACCAGCCTTTACACCAACAGTGTATTTAACTAATTTCATGTTGTTTAGCAAGGGTTGATGTGACCGATAATAAGAATAATTAAAACTAATAGTATATCAGAATACATAAGTTACAGTATTTCTAGAACAATGTATGTCATGTTAATAAACAGCTTGACATAGTTGGGTATCTTAAAAAGATGCTATAAAAATAGACATCAATTGCATTTAAATCAAACTTGCCTTTCAGTGACATGAACTTGAACTCCTATTGAATTTGCTGATATTCATATCTGTGAAATTTGACCTGAAGCCTCAGGTAGGACAAAATTGTAGCCACACAATGCTATACAAAACTTCACTACCACAACAGAATCCTATTTTTTGGCCTTTAAGCTTTTGGCCAAGCAACAAAGCCAAAGTTTTCAAACATCATTCAACTTACGGGCATTCAACAGCCCAGTCTGTACAGGAAAATTGTCTGTTGAAGGACCTCAAAACAGCATATACCAAAATAAGGCTCTTAAAATATATTTTTATAGTAGACACTATATATTTGTATTGAAAAAAGTATTTACATTGTATAGAGAGATTAGTAAGCAGTATATAACATTTTCTATTCTATGTGCAGTATGTTTTTTATGTGATGTAGTTAACATAATTATATAATACTTTACTACATATGATCTATAATATATACTAGGTTGCACTCTTAAGAGATGCACAGTTATAAGAAAAGAAGTTTAAAAAATAGAAAAAAAAAAAGTCTTTCTAAGGCATTTATTTTCCATTTACCATTCTTCATCAACATAAATGACACACAGTACTCTCTGGACATATCAGATCTGTATAAAGCTTTCAGGGATCCACCATTTCTGCATCACAATTAAAAGTCCTGAACACTATAAAGCAACTCAACCAGTACTGAAAAACCTGTATCTATTCTTTCATGTTTTCACAGTAAGAACTGTCCAGTTTGCAGCAGTTTTGATATGTACCACTAAGCAGATGAAAAAGAAACTAGGCAGCTGACTAGACAAAAATTAAATATAACCTAAAGCACTGTGCTACACGCCTCTAGTTTTTTTTTCAGTGAACCAAACTCTCCTTTTTTTTTGTTTTCTGAATCTCTTCTTGTAATTGACAATAACTACAAGATACCTCCTCAAAACACAAAAAGTCACCAAATGCCAGCTCACTGCTAATAAACTCATTTAGAACAACTTATTAAGACATAACCTTTAAGTGTGTGAGCAAACAATATGCAATCAAATAAGCAACACAAATATCTATAAAGCTAGATGAAGTATTAGGATTACTGCAGCTTTCTCTGACTGAAGCCAAGCATATGCTAATATAATGGGGCATGAATTTACAGTAACAGAGATGTACGACACAGGCTAAACCTTCATTTGTGAGAACATACCACAGAAAAAAAACACAACAATTTTTGTTTTTCTGGTTTATAGCATGACGAGCAACAAATACTCTTTTGCAGACCTAGGGCTCCCGCTGCTGCTAACATGGAAGTAAAAACCAAAACGTTACTTGAAATCCACTAAAAACATGCTCCCGAAATAGATTTTAAAATTATCAAGCTATAAACATGCTTCTCAGGCTATCTGGATGGATGCAAGGTTTTCAGGTAGGACTGACAGGCTCATGTTATCCATTTGGAACATGCAGCATGGAAAGCACCAAAGAAAATTAATTCCACTCCACTAATTGTGTCCGCATTCACAGCAGGAGTTCTTAATTAAAGTATTAATGAAACAAGCACTTGATACTTTTCTAACTTTTTAAAACTAGATCAGAAATATTTGGTATTCTGTCTTTATAGAAACCTCTATTTTTAGGAAGTTGTGGCTTATTTATCCCAGTAGAACAGCTTTTGGTGTTCAAGTTGTTTCTTTGATTAAGTTAGATCTTAAAGTATGTGTGAAAAACACATAGCCTTTAATAAGAATGTGTGACTGACCAACATGAAACACCAAAATTTGAGATGTCAGTTACTCATTTAACATGACTGAATCTATCAAGTGAGTTTGTTGGCAATAGTTGGTTTTAATAGATGTCAGAGTGACTTTGTACTGAGTCTGATCAAGGTCAGTACCTTTTGTCAGCTTTCCACACCCTTAGATTCCAGAGACAGGGCCAGACCTCATAGCAGAAGGGTAGGAAGCCATATCATTTCACGCTTTTCTTAGTCCCGGTTGCCAACTGTGGATTGAACTTGGAAGCAGTGGTCACAGCACAGTAAGTTATTTCTTGGGGAGTCACAGCTGAACAGAGCTTGGGGAAATACCAACATTGCACACGCAGGAAACTTAACCAAGTCCTGTCCCCCCGCCCCTTCTTTTTTTTTTGAGAAAATCGGAGGACCAATAGGAGACACACAGCCAAAGTGCTGTCAATCCAAGGTCAGTGGCTAGGATAATGGTAGTACACTACAATGATACACACAAATGGATGTACCAAACCAATGCTGTTTCCATCAGCCTAGCAGCAGTTTACCTGGCATAACAGAATCACAGAATCACACAGAATGGTAGGGGTTGGGAGGGACCTCTGTGGGTCATCTAGTCCACCCCCCCTGCCAAAGCAGGGTCACCCAGAGCAGGCTGCACAGGACCACGTCCAGGCGGGTCTTGAATATCTCCAGAGAAGGAGACTCCACAACCTCCCTGGGCAGCCTGTTCCAGGGCTCTGTCACCCTCAGAGGGAAGAAGTTCTTCCTCATGTTCAGATGGAACTTCCTATGCTTCAGTTTATGCCCGTTGGCCCTTGTCCTCTCTCAGCCTTCTCTTCTTCAGGCTAAACAAGTCCATCTCCCTCAGCCTTTCCTCATAGGACAGATGCTCCAGTCGCCTCATCATCCTCGTAGCCCTCTGCTGGACAAGCCCAGAACTGGACGGAGTACTCCAGATGGGGCCTCACTAGGGCAGTGCAGAGGGGGAGCAGAACCTCCCTCGACCTGCTGGCCACACTCGTCTTCACACTAACATAACTAACTCCTCCTCCTCACACTAACATAACGATTCTCCACTGCGTCCTCACAGACATGGAGCCAGAGAGCAAGCAGACCTGACCTGGCCCGATTCGGGCTCCTTATGTCAGCAACTCTCAAAACAGGCGCTGTAATATCCCCCGCTTTGTCTGCACAGCCTCGCTGCTCAGTGGAGACCAGGCCTCCGACACACCCCGACTCCGTGCTCGGCAGCGCGCTCGGCGGTGGATTGGTAGCGCCTGGAGCGGCGGCGCAGGCGCAGCACGGCGCGGGCGCTGCGGCTGCGCG